AACTCTTTCTCTAGCTTAATCTTCTTAGGAGGACGGACAACTGATGAATTAAAATTGTCTTGAAGGGGATCATTAGGATTCATTAACGGTGTCAGCATTGATAGCGAAATATCACCAACGTTTGCACTATCACACGTCTGACTTTCCACATCCTTGTCAGAAACAAATATTGTTTGAAATTAACTTATGTTTTGCAATAAAACTGCATGCAACATTTTTTTGATTAATTCATAAGCAATAATTTCGAGATACCGTAGCTTTTTCCGGTTCTGCTGATGCAACGACACTGTCGCAAGCCTTGTCAAATAATCCTTCATCCTGCATTTAAAACAAATATTTTGAAAAAAATCAAATCCATTGAAACGCAGAATGAGAACAGCAAAACCTAAATAGAAATAATAATGTTAATAAAAAAATAACTCACATTCGTATCCACAACAGTCTTAAGGAAGGATGTGATTACAGGTTCGCTTATACATACTTTAGAAATCTGATACCTAGGCTCACTGTATGAGTCCAAATTATTTTTTTCACATTCACTTTAAACAACATGGATTTATCAATAAGAACATTAAGTTCCTTAGGATAGTGCTCGAAATCATCACCCAACAAAAAAAATATTAATGAAATTTTAATAAGAACTTTAAATGAATAAAAAAATGAGTGGAATAAGAACACAAACCCTTTTGAAATGCTGCTCACATAAATCTGCAGCACTCATGCCCAACAAAGCAACACAGTCTCTATCAAATAGAATGAAATATGCAGAATCAGTGTGATCCACAACTCTCAACTGCACACAAAATCTGTAACACATGACCACCGATTGTGTTATTTATAAATAAAATGAACGATCTAATAATAACAACAACAAAAATAGATATAAAATCTTACTTTGGATAATAATCATCAAAATGTTTTTGGCAGTTTTTACAATACCATTTCTCGAAATCTTCATAAACAGAATATGGACATTTATTACAGGACTTGTACCACCATTTATATTTACTCTCAATCGATTTTATGGTTCCATAAGTAATGCAAGTAGTAACCTCACTGCAATTCTTAACATCACTGATACACTTCCTTTCCGTTTCTTTCAGGAAATCATTCTCAAAAGAATATGAGAACTGACTTGATAACTGAGACAACGTGTAACCGCTATCAATGACATCAGACGAAAGCCTAAAAAACAATAACATTACAAATAATCAGCGTTAAATAATAAAGAAAAGAGCAGAATAATGTAATAACAACTCGCACCTTTTTTTGAAGTCGACAATCTCTGGTACACTGGGACCGATAATTATCCTCGTCGTATACTTTGTATTTGTTATTCCAATTTTTCCTTTAAAATTTATTATTAATTTCAAAACCATAAGGAGGGAAATAAACTAAAACATTCCAGTATGAAATCATAATCAAATATTTATGTGAACTCACCCCTGAAACCCTTTATTCTAGCTAGCTGAACTATCATCACGTTTGGAGGAGATTGATTACTCCCCAAAATTTGTTGCACCTGGTCCACGTAGTCCTCCCAGAGAGTGCACTCGAGCTTGTGACCCCTACTTGCACAATTTTTGCAACAAATCACAAAATAGAATTTTACATCAAATGAACATAACACATAACAAATAACCAATAGATACCTGAGGTTATCAAGCTCCACGACAACCATTTTTGTCTTTCTACCGGAGATAATATGCTCACGAACTTCCCCTATTCCAGAAACTAAACCGATGACATCTATAACGTCAAAATCTATAAAATCAAATCCATTGGTGGGAATAGCAGAATCAATAGTGGATTTTACATCAGTCCTCAAGTTGAAGGACAAACGATAATCATGCTTAGTTGGCCTGAAACTCCCACTATTCAAACTAACTCTAAAATTTTTTATGAAATAAACTTCTCCTTCGTGAATTTCGTTACGGATATTTAAAGAACCCTTGATAGCAGCGTGGACCCTTCCACCCTACAAAACACATGCACAGATTAGTACATTTTAAAAACATGGACCGCAAACCAACAGTAATATCAAAAACAAAACAAAAACAAATACCTTTTCATCTAACAGAATCATCTCTACGTTGTCGTCAAAATTTTTTTGGTGAAAATTAGGAACCTTCCATGTTCTAACAACTCTATCCTTAATCCTCCACTCCTCCTTAGAAGGATTAAGATCCTTAATAAAATCATACTTCGAATACATAACCAAACGTATATCAGGTAATATTGGCTCAAAGCCTTTGAGGACAAAGAAAAGAACGAAATAGAGACGCTTCCAAATACCTATTTATACACGAATATGCACTATTCGATTTAAAAATGGTCATTTAATTATTCGATTTAAAAAATTAAAATTAGATTTTTAAAAGAAATTTTTTTCCCACCATCCATATTTAAATTCAAAATTTTAAACCATTTCAAATTTCGAATTTTAGATCAGATGACGCATTCCAACATAAAAAACAATTAAATCAGCTGATTTCTTTTTGGATACCAATGTGATGGACAGTGGGACATTCAATGTCTTTTCTGCCACCACAAATGGTCATTTAATTATTCGATTTAAATATTAAAATTCGATTTTTAAAATAATTTCTTTTCCCACCATCCATATTTAAATTCAAAATTTTAAACCATTTCAAATTTCGAATTTCAGATCAGACGACCAATTCCAACATAAAAAGCAATTAAAACACTTGATTATCCAATTAAAATTTTGAATTTCAAAACCATATTTATTGATTAACTATTCGTTTATGTCTGCCGCCACAAACGGTCATTTAATTATTCAATTACAAAATTAAAATTCGATTTTTAAAAGAAATTCTTTTCCCACCATCCATATTTAAATTCAAAATTTTAAACCATTTCAAATTTTGAATTTCAGATCAGACGATAAATTCCAACATAAAAAGCAATTAAAACACCTGATTATCTAATTTATTTTGTCTGTCAGCTCTCTTGACTCTTGATTGTTATGATATTTGAATCAATTATATAACAAAGATAATGTCTTTGTTATATCATTATTGTGTATATATTTTTTTAAAAATAATCATAACGAAATTGTGAATTGAATGAAGATCAGGTCTTCAACAATTGTGAAATTTGTTTTTGTTTCTATTGATCTCCATAAATAGAGATCGTGAATGCATGTCCATGAAAATAGTTTTCTTTTTATTGAATTTAAAATTTCGAATTTCAGATTGTGCAAAATAAATACATAATTTCAAAATTTAATTGATAAACCATTTAAAAATTTCGAAAATTCAATTTTTAAAAGAATATTGGTATGATAGTTTATCTGATAGGTTTTTCTTTGTATTGAATTGAAAATTTCGAATTTCAGATTGTGCAAAATAAATACATAATTTCGAAATTTAATTGATAAACCATTTAAAATTTCGAAAATTCAATTTTTAAAAGAATATTGGTATGATAGTTTATCTGATATGATAGTTTTGGTTTTGGGATTTAATTTATTTTGTCTGTCAGCTCTCTTGATTCTTGATTGTTATGATATTTGAATCAAATATATAACAAAGATAATGTCTATATAACAAAGATAATGTCTTTGTTATATCGTTATTGTATATATATTTTTTTAAAAATAACCATAACGAAATTGTGAATTGAATGACGATAAGGTCTTCAACAATTGTGAAATTTGTTTTTGTTTCTATTGATCTCCATGAATAGAGATCATGAATGCATGTCCGTGAAAAGAGTTTTCTTTTTATTGAATTTAAAATTTCGAATTTCAGATTGTGCAAAATAAATACATAATTTCAAAATTTAATTGATAAACCATTTAAAAATTTCGAAAATTCAATTTTTAAAAGAATATTGGTATGATAGTTTATCTGATAGAGTTTTCTTTTTATTGAATTTAAAATTTCGAATTTCAGATTGTGCAAAATAAATACATAATTTCGAAATTTAATTGATAAACCATTTAAAATTTCGAAAATTCAATTTTTAAAAGAATATTGGTATGATAGTTTATCTGATATGATAGTTTTGGTTTTGGGATTTAATTTATTTTGTCTGTCAGCTCTCTTGATTCTTGATTGTTATGATATTTGAATCAAATATATAACAAAGATAATGTCTATATAACAAAGATAATGTCTTTGTTATATCATTATTGTATATATATTTTTTTAAAAATAACCATAACGAAATTGTGAATTGAATGACGATCAGGTCTTCAACAATTGTGAAATTTGTTTTTGTTTCTATTGATCTCCATGAATAGAGATCGTGAATGCATGTCCGTGAAAAGAGTTTTTTTTTTATTGAATTTAAAATTTTGAATTTCAGATTGTTGAAAATAAATACATAATTTCGAAATTTAATTGATAAACCATTTAAAAATTCGAATTTTAGATGAGATGACCAATTCCAACATAAAAAGCAATTAAAACAGCTGATTTTTTTTGGATACCAATGTGATGGGCAGTGGGACATTCAATGCCTTGTCAGCAACTATTATTCGATTTAAAAATTAAAATTCAATTTTTAAAAGAGTTTTTTTTTCCAATTTACCCAATAAAGAAATTTTGTATATAACCAAATTGTAGAATTAACCAGAGAGTGACACTTGGCAAAACTTTCCAGCAGTGAACTCTCTTTTATATATATATATATATATATATATATGGATAGGATCCATTGACACCGATGTCAAATTTTGAAATTTGACACCAAATCCTAACCGTTGATTTCTGCCAATCAACGGTTATCATTTATTGGCAATTGATGATTAATTAATTAGCGCAATTCCCAATAAATGATAACCATCGATTGACGAAAATCAACTGTTAGGATTTTGTGTCAAATTTCAAAGTTTGACACCGGTATCAAACGATCCGCCCATATATATATATAGAAGATATCACATCAATCCAAAAAGTTGATGTAACTTGCAGGACGACCAAGAGTCTTTTGCGTGTGTGTGTCTCCAAACACGGTATTGAGCCCAAAAGCCTACGGCTAAACCCAACGCCTAAAAGTGTGTCGTATTCAAATTCCTGCAATTTTGGTCTCTTTCATCAAAATCAAAAATGACCAATGAATCAGATACCAATGTCTCTGTTTTCCGAATTCTTTTCTCTCAATTCTCATTGCCGCTTTTACTAACTATAACTATAACTAAACTCGTTTTCATTGCCTTGTAGGATGGTGCAACTGCAACTGCAACTGCAATTCCACCTCTGTCAAACGGTATCGTTTTGTTTCGGTGTTCCTTTTTTCATATTGGTTCTTTTTCCAATGGCTTCTTAGTTTCTGTACTCTTCCTTAGTTACCTTTTAATATACCCTTTTTATTTAAAAAAAAATTAAATTTATGTAGAAAAAAGGGTGTGTGAGGATGAAGATGGGAACCAACTAAGATCAAAGAGGCAGAAGATAGATGAGATTGCTGAGGAGCCAAAGAATAAGGGGGAAATTATTTCAAATGATTCCTCTTCAGATTCTGAACAAAATAAGGTGTTTACTTGACATGACTATTTAGGCTTTTAATTTATGCATAGTAGAACCTTTAATTTCATGCTAGTATTGTATATGTATGATAATAGGTTTATTTTTATGTTTTGGCTATTTTATTAACTCTGCAAGTCATGTCTCCGTTGAGAGTATAACTCAGAGTGTGATTCTGACAGAAGCTCTAATGAGGACAATGTAAATGATGAGTTATTGACTTCTCTGTCAGTGGTTTATTCTTGTACTTCAATATATGAATAAAGGAACATTGGTTAATGATTGGATAATCTATAAGTTTCTTTGTAATTCAGCTAGAAGAAATAAGAGATGTGATTTAGTTCGTAAGGTAGTAGTCATGTTGTTTGTGCTCCAATTATTGAAAAAGAAACTGAACTAATCTGACTTTTCCAAGACTTATGGGGAATCTTTCCAGGGTGACGGATGGTCTGTTTTGATGCCTTGAATTTGCTATATATAAACTGGAAATTTGAAATATCTAATTGAAGAGTATGAACTGATCCGTTATATGTTGAGGGTTGGCAAAGTTTATAACCTGTGTTAATTACAGGGGGAGATGGATACTGATGAGGGTGATAGTTCTGAAGAAAGTGATGACGAGGCTCAGAAGAAAATGACCAATGAATCAGATACCAATGTCTCTGTTTTCCGAATTCTTTTCTCTCAATTCTCATTGCCGCTTTTACTAACTATAACTATAACTAAACTCTTTTTGGTTGCCTTGTAGGATGGTGCAACTGCAACTGCAACTGCAATTCCACCTCTGTCAAACGGTATCGTTTTGTTTCGGTGTTCCTTTTTTCATATTGGTTCTTTTTCCAATGGCTTCTTAGTTTCTGTACTCTTCCTTAGTTACCTTTTAATATACCCTTTTTATTTAAAAAAAAATTAAATTTATGTAGAAAAAAGGGTGTGTGAGGATGAAGATGGGAACCAACTAAGATCAAAGAGGCAGAAGATAGATGAGATTGCTGAGGAGCCAAAGAATAAGGGGGAAATTATTTCAAATGATTCCTCTTCAGATTCTGAACAAAATAAGGTGTTTACTTGACATGACTATTTAGGCTTTTAATTTATGCATAGTAGAACCTTTAATTTCATGCTAGTATTGTATATGTATGATAATAGGTTTATTTTTATTTTTTGGCTATTTTATTAACTCTGCAAGTCATGTCTCCGTTGAGAGTATAACTCAGAGTGTGATTCTGACAGAAGCTCTAATGAGGACAATGTAAATGATGAGTTATTGACTTCCCTGTCAGTGGTTGATTCTTGTACTTCAATATGTGAATAAAGAAACATTGGTTAATGATTGGATAATCTATAAGTTTCTTTGTAATTCAGCTAGAAGAAATAAGAGATGTGATTTAGTTCGTAAGGTAGTAGTCATGTTGTTTGTGCTCCAATTATTGAAAAAGAAACTGAACTAATCTGACTTTTCCAAGACTTATGGGGAATCTTTCCAGGGTGACGGATGGTCTGTTTTGATGCCTTGAATTTGCTATATATAAACTGGAAATTTGAAATATCTAATTGAAGAGTATGAACTGATCCGTTATATGTTGAGGGTTGGCAAAGTTTATAACCTGTGTTAATTACAGGGGGAGATGGATACTGATGAGGGTGATAGTTCTGAAGAAAGTGATGACGAGGCTCAGAAGAAAATGACCAATGAATCAGATACCAATGTCTCTGTTTTCCGAATTCTTTTCTCTCAATTCTCATTGCCGCTTTTACTAACTATAACTATAACTAAACTCTTTTTGGTTGCCTTGTAGGATGGTGCAACTGCAACTGCAATTCCACCTCTCTCAAACGGTATCGTTTTGTTTCGGTGTTCCTTTTTTCATATTGGTTCTTTTTCCAATGGCTTCTTAGTTTCTGTACTCTTCCTTGGTTACCTTTTAATATACCCTTTTTATTTAAAAAAAATTTAAATTTATGTAGAAAAAAGGGTGTGTGAGGATGAAGATGAGAACCAACTAAGATCAAAGAGGCAGAAGATAGATGAGATTGCTGAGGAGCCAAAGAATAAGGGGGAAATTATTTCAAATGATTCCTCTTCAGATTCTGAACAAAATAAGGTGTTTACTTGACATGACTATTTAGGCTTTTAATTTATGCATAGTAGAACCTTTAATTTCATGCTAGTATTGTATATGTATGATAATAGGTTTATTTTTATTTTTTGGCTATTTTATTAACTCTGCAAGTCATGTCTCCGTTGAGAGTATAACTCAGAGTGTGATTCTGACAGAAGCTCTAATGAGGACAATGTAAATGATGAGTTATTGACTTCCCTGTCAGTGGTTGATTCTTGTACTTCAATATGTGAATAAAGGAACATTGGTTAATGATTGGATAATCTATAAGTTTCTTTGTAATTCAGCTAGAAGAAATAAGAGATGTGATTTAGTTAGTAAGGTAGTCATGTTGTTTGTGCTCCAATTATTGAAAAAGAAACTGAACTAATCTGACTTTTCCAAGACTTGTGGGGAATCTTTCCAGGGTGACGGATGGTCTGTTTTGATGCCTTGAATTTGCTATATATAAACTGGAAATTTGAAATATCTAATTGAAGAGTAGGAACTGATCCGTTATATGTTGAGGGTTGGCAAAGTTTATAACCTGTGTTAATTACAGGGGGAGATGGATACTGATGAGGGTGATAGTTCTGAAGAAAGTGATGACGAGGCTCAGAAGAAAAAGATTGAAGTTTTGTTATATAGATTTGTTAGAGAATAGTATAAACCATTAAAAAGGCCATCACCCAACAGCTTAAGTTTTTGGGTTGAATTGGTTCTTTACATGGTATCAAGGTCTTGGTGTCACGGGTTCGATCCTCACCGCCCCCCATTTAATTAATAATTAATTAAGTCTTATTAAGTTTCTTAGCACAGGTAGGTGGGTCTGTGCATTGTCCACCCTCCAAGCTCAGTAGGCTATAGTGTGAGGGGGTGTGTTAAAGAATAGTATAAATAATTAAAAAGGCTATCACCCAACAACTTAAGCTTTTTGGTTGAATTGGTTCTTTACAATATTGTTCTTTGAACCAATTTTACCTACTATAATTATAATTGTGTTTTTTTTATTTGGTCTTATCTTTTTATTGTTTCACAACCTTATTTTCTGTTCTGAAGCAGAATGCTACATCAAATGCTTATAAACCTGATTTAAAAACTGTTGAAAAGGATACTTCTAGTGATAGTTCAGAAGACGATGATATTGGAAAGTCACCACATATGGTTGAAAAAGTGAGAATCTTGCAAATTGTGCATATAATTGTTTATTTGCAGAGTGTTTCATATCTTAGCACTTTTCTTTTTATTGCAGCCTGTGAAAGGTTCAGATAGTTCAAAGGACAATGAGGAAGAAATTGAGGAAAAAGCCTCCAAAACTGCTCAGGTAAGTGTAAGCATTTCATAATGCATTTGCCTATGTCTGCTGAAATGTTCATTTTGTTTTATGACTTATTGGAGTATAGAATTGACTTGTATGAAAGAGCTTAAGGATGTGGAGATGGTTGATGCTGCCTCCATTGGAAAGAAACCTGAAATTGACCAATGTTCTCTCGTTCTGCAATGCAAATTATTGAATCATTTATATGATATGTTATTTCCTCGAATTTTGCAGCTTAAAACCCCAGCTACACAGAAAGAAAAAAATGCTGCATCGAAGACAATATATGTTCGAAACTTGTCATACAGTGTGGAACGGTCTGATATGTATGTATGTTTTTTTCATGCATGTGCTTGTTATTATCTTCTGTAGTTTTTTTTCTAATTTCTGAATTGTTCAGGGAAAATCTTTTCAAAGAGTGTGGAGAAATTGTTGATGTTCGTCTTCATACAGATAACGAAGGGAGGTTTAAAGGTTTTGGACATGTTGAGTTTGCAATAGCAGAAGCAGCACAAAAAGTAAGCTTTATGACCTTTCATAGTCTGTGCAATCATTTTAGAACTGCCAAAAATCATTTAAAAGATAGTTGTACCTTTAGAAGCAACATTGTCATATATTTTTGAGATACACTTACTGTAAAATTTTAACAAATTGATTTTTTTGAAATATTTTTCTCATTCCTAGTATTTTCAATTGAATTAATTGACTTCATTTGATTTTTGAAGAAAATTACTACCTTTTACTTAGTTGTGGTTGAGGCTTTATTATTGTTGATATTGCTACAACCTGCAATTTTGACGGGTATGGTGTCAATTTATTGTTTTCTTCAAAAAGTATATAGCATTGTCTTGTCTTGTCTTTGGAATCTAATGTTGGATTAGCATCATAAATGTGCATATATATCCTATTTATGTGTGAACATAGAGTACCAAATGATGGTAGTTCAGTTGGCGCATGGAAGCTGAGCAGGTGGGGGTGAGAGCATGTGTTTGATCCTCCACAGTACCATCTTTGGGAGGAATTTAAAGCCTTAATCCTGAACCCTCCCCGAACAGGATTGCCTCCCATGGAGGATACCTATGGTTTGTCCAAAAATAAAAAAATGTTTGAACATAGAGGTGTGTAGAAAATCAGGATTAAAATCTTTCCGCTTTTATTTCCTATTAATTAGTGATTGATTTTTTCCTTTAATAAGAATTTGAATTTTGAATTTGTTTATATAGGATAGGGCTGATGACTCATTGTTGAGTCATTCTTATCCATTTTTTCCTCTCGTTTACTCTTGTATAAATACCCCTATCAGTGTAAATCAAATGTATCAATACTAGAAAAACCTTTGTTTTACATCTTTCAATAAGGCGGGAGGTGCTGAAGCCGGCTTACGGGCTAATCTCGACGTGCGGGAGCAGGAGGTTGCAGTAATGGGGGAAGGGAAGGTTGAGAGCTATGGGACAAGACAGAGATGAATGGTGTTCTTTATTAAAAACTGAAAGAATTACAAGAGAACAAGTTTCTTAATTCCCTTCAACCTGTGCAATGTCTCAGTCTACAATTATTTTCCTTAAAATTCCTAATACGGTAATTACATCACCTATATACTACCTCCTAACCTCGTAACTTCCTAACTTCCTAACTTCCTAATTAGCTGCTGGGTCCCCTTTTTCTAACTAATCTTGGCTCTTAATTATCTAACTTGATGCCTTGATTTATTCCTTCCAGAATATACATTCCAGGCATTGGTTTCTTCCTCATTTCCTATCATAACAATACCTCCCCTCGGGAAACAACCTTGTACCTCCCCATGGGAAACAACCTTGTCCCCGAAGTTGAAGTATGGAAACTGGGCCTAAATTGTGGTGACATCCTCCCAAGTGGCCTCCTTAGGGGATTGATGCTGCTACCCTCGGTCAATTATAGTCCATGTGCCTAGAATCTAAGCAGGAAAACAGTGCACAACGTCCACCTGCAACTCCTCTAGAAGGTGATTTAAAAGACAAAGTAATAAGTCCTATTATACTAAATAAGGACTCCCAAAGTGAGGAAGTAAATCATAAAATATAAGTAAATGGGGAAGTAAATCATAGAATATTACCAAAAAGCGACAAGTTTCTTCGCTGGTCACAATCAGTTTGTTTAAATATCAGGTGGAGAGGAAAAATCAGATATCTTACCGGAGATACAAAGTAAGCCACTGCGGAGTACCCAACTTATGCCACTTGGGATGCTAGTAACTCAATGGCAATGATGTTGTTGGTCAATTCGATGACAGAGTGTAAGACTGAATTCTGACTTGGGGAATCAATCCCAAGTATGAATCAACCTTGCAGCTTTGCAGGATCTTGATCTTTTCGACTACTATGAATGAAAATCAACTGAGGACTTCAACCACTACACAAAGATGGTGGATATCAGCTGAGCATTCAAAATTTCTGGGTTGAATGTCAAGTTTGATGAAGTTCGTGGATGAGTCATTGGAAGGAATCCCCTTCCTCTTATCAAGGAAGTATTTGCGGAAGTGAGAGGGAGGAGACCCAAAGGTTAGTGATGCTGGGAAGACGGGCTATCAGCCAAGCAGGATCTGTGCTATCCTGATCATTTATTATATATCCGTCCTCTGTATTTGTGCATAGTAATACAATAACCATCAAGCCTTATCTCACTAGGTCCTGTTGGCTGCATGCATTATTCGATCATAACAATTAGTTTTTAAGTGATGGAGGTTGACATTGCTATGTAGGTTTTCTTATATATATAGTGCTTGTATTGCTACACCTCTTGCATCATCTGTGCTTATGTTTGTTGAACCCTTGTTCTGTGTAAAGACATATTGAGCTGAGAACCAATTTGCTTTTGTACTCATAGGCTCTTGAGTTGGATAATACAGAATTGTTGAGACGTCCCATCAAAGTTGGTATAGCTTGGGAAAGGGGTCTCGATAGAAGGTAATTATGTATATACTCTTTTTGTTTAGGGTGCGTTTGGATAAGCTTTGAAAATAGAACTTTTGGGATATGGTTTTATTAGAAGCTACATTTTCTAGCTTATGAGAAAAGCACTAAAATAACTTCTTCTTTTTTGTGTGGAGGTTTTTGTTTTCCCCAAAAAACTTATCTAATTATTATGAAAACTGTTAAACATGTTTTTCAGTTAAAAATTTTTTAACCACAACAAAACAGGCCCTTGATGTTTTCTATTCATTCATTTCAATATCTTGCCTTATGCCGACATCTTCCCTTTTCTGTTTCTTTGTTAATAATTTTAGCAACTTGAGCAACTCATTCCAGAAAGGTGAAACAGTTCAATCTCAAACTGTATTTGTAAAGGGTTTTGATAGATCCCTTGGAGAAGAGAAGGTAATTGTTTCTCTAACATATTGATTTGTTGCATCAGTTCCTGCACAAGATTGCATAAATCTCTCTTGATTTCATATTTGTATGGTTTGATTGGTGGTTTTAGCTGTAAATAATGCCCACTTTGTTCTTTCAGATAAAAGCTAGCCTGGAGGAGCATTTCGGTTCTTGTGGAGAGATAACAAGGATATCAATTCCGAAATTTCATGATTCTGGTGCTGTTAAGGGGTATGTTTCTTATTGTGCTGTATGTTAGATTATAATGTACTATTGAATATTTCAACATGCCACTTCCGTTTGCATCGAGCCTTTTCATATCCATCTCACTTTACTTTGGATGGGCTTGTCAAAATGAATGTCAGAATTATCAGCATGTCAGTATGCAATTTGATTTTGTCGTTGTGAATCTAGTAAAAAGATTGCTCCTGTGCATTTTTCACATAGATAATTCTGTAATCTATGCTATTGTTAAATGGAACAGAAAAAATCCTTGGTGGTTTTGAAATTAGTCTAGATGACTGTAAGTTTCTCAGATGATTTATTGAACTTTTCCTGAAATCATTCAAAGGTTTTAACATATTTTCAGTTATTCAGTATTATTTGGATATCTTCATTCAAGCTTCAATTTTTTGGTTCCATTTCCTTTTTCCTCTTTTAACTGGACTTCCTTGAAATTTATGAATCACACTATATTTCATCTATTTAGTGGGGAATATGCTGTATTTACACCTAAACTATTTCTATATCATTTTCATTTTGTATTCATTTTTTTATAATTCGTCAATTTTGAACCTATGAAAGATTTCCTTCTTGCCTACATGCCCCTCTCCAAAATACGGAGGGGTTTAAATAGATAATGAGGGATACCAAACTCTACCGGCAGCTCCTAAATGCAGATTGACTATTGTAGTTTATGACAGACACATCATTTCTGCTTGTATTTCAGTCAGACACTTAACTACAGAATAATCCTTGTTTTTCTGCTTCTAATGTCATTTTGTTTATGTTCTTATCATTAATGTTTTTTCCCTTTTGTGTATCCCAAGTTTTCCCTAGTGATTATATTCAACTCAGTAGCTGTAATTTGAATAGCACTTTATCCTTTTTTTTATATCTATATAGGGGGTGCAATCAACCACAAATCACTACAATGAATTCAGATTATAAGTACTGGAAGGTGTTTATTTGCTTACTTGTTTGAGTATAGAGACTGCCTAGAGGGAATTATTTTTTATCAATATCATGCCTCAACTGGATAAGTTCATTTATGTCACACAACACTTCTTGGCTTGTCTTTTTAAAGATAAAAAAGGGCGCCTCAATACCTGAGGACCCCACTGTTTGGTCTGTTGTAGGTCAGATAACATTCCTTTTTGGAAGTCATCTGGAGAAAATATCGTAATCTCCACATGAACAGTACGGGGTTTATTTTGTTTTATTTTTTTGTTGTTACCTTTCATTTTTTATCTACCTTGTTTATAAAGCAAGAATTAGCTCTTTGTTGAATACCGTCTTGCTCCCTCTCTATCTGAATTTTTCTTCTCATAGAACTCATTGAGCACGAGACCAGGCCATAGCGGCTTGAAGGCTATTGTACACAAAAAATCTCCATAAATAGTGACCTCCTTCTGGTTAAGTTTCTCTGATTGAGCCTCGAAATATATCAGCGTGTGTAAACCTTGATTGATAAGTAATTGTAGAAGGCTGGAAAACTCTGAAATATAGTGTGTGCGATGCAAAGTATTAGTGTGTACTGCATTCCAATCTCAAATTGCAAAATTTACAGGTTTGCTCACTTGGACTTCAAGGATGTTGATAGCTTGAAGAATGCTCTACAACTGCATCGAACTGAGTTTGGAGGTTATCCTTTGTTAGTTCAAAAAGCAAAGCCTCGATATTATAATCAGGATATAGGCCATGGTAGAGGTGTTGGTGGTCATCAGTTTGACGGAAGGGATGGAGTTGGCCATGGTGGCACAGTGGGTTGGAGGAAAAGTAGTGGCGGTCATCAATTTTGTGGAAGGGATGGAAGTGACCATGGTGACAGAGTGAATTGGGGGAGAAGTGGTGGCGGTCATGAGTTTGGTGTAAGGGATGGAGATGGCCATAGTGGCAGAGTCGGTTGGGGGAGAAGCAGCGGTGGTCATAAGTTTTGTGGAAGGGATGGAGGTGACCCTGGTGGCAGAGTGGATTGGGGGAGAAGTGGTGGTGATCATCAGTTTGATGCAAGGAATGGTAGTGACCATGGTGGCACAGTGGGTTGGCGAAGTAGTAGGGGTGGTCATCAGTTTTGTGGAAGGGATGGAGGTAACAATAGTGGCAAAGTGGGTTGGGGGAGAATTAGTGGTGGTCATCAGTTTTGTGGAAGGGATGAAGGTGACCTTGGTTGCAGAATGGATTGGGGTAAAAGTGGTGGTGATCTTCAATATGGTGTGAGGGATGGAGGTGGCCATGGTGACACAGCGGGTTGGGGGAGTAGTAGCCATGGTGACACAGCGGGTTGGGGGAGTAGTAGCGGTGGTCATCATCAATTTTGTGGAAGGGATGGAGGTGGCCAAGATGGCAGAGTGGATTGGAGGAGAAATGGTGGTGGATGGAAGTATTGAGCACACAATATACCTAGCACTGACATGATGAAGTCACAGGTATTTCATTTTTCTACAATTAGTTTTTTCTTTCCTTGTCAGAAATATCTTACATTTCTGGATTAAATCACCTATGTTGTATTGAAGTATACTGCTGCTGCTAGATTGATTCTTTGTTTTGTGAGGTGTTACGATGACTTCATGCTCATATGTTTTACCCATTCTTAATTTACTCTTCTATTTTATACTCTTTTGATGTTCTGTTAACAAATTATAGTGCTGTTGGAGTGGAAGCGTTCGTGATAGTGATCCTGAATTTTTGGCAGCAAGGAAGGGTCTTTTATTTGCAACCCAGTTGGTTCTATCAAATATCTACTTGAAGGGAGATGCCAACAATGTTTATGTATATCCAACAATGTATATATACACGGACTTCTCTTATAATGTTTTGATTTTACCAAACATTACTTAAGGTGTTTTTTGTGTTATGTTCCCCGAGATTGTAACTCCATTGTAGATTCACCGACCAAGAACATAAAACAAAATAATGAGAATATTTAAGAGAGATGTGCTTAAGTAGGGTATGCATCTTAGATGTTCAATTGAAATGATAAGTTTTGTCATACTCAACATTGGAAGAGAAGAAACTGACAAAAATTGAAATATAGTTACATTTTGATAAGTTTTGAAAAAAAGAAATTATGATTTTTTTTTCCAGCTTTTTTCTCAAAAGTTATTCTTTTTAACTTTAAAAAATAGTATTAATACTAGTCTTTTTTGGGCTTTTGATTTTTGTTTTTAAAAAAAAAAAAAACTTAAAATGACTGTTGGCAAGTTGTTTTGCCCCTTGTTCATTGCAAAATATACCTTCAAAAAAGTAAAAGAAAAAAACATTAAACATTTGTACTATGTTTTAAGTTCCTCATCACATTAAACATTAAAGGATAATTAAGGATTAGCTTGTTAGGGACTTCGTCACATTTTTTGTTATATTCATTTAAAAACTCCATTATAAAAAGACGAGAGAAAAAATTTGTGGGATTTACTTACTTTTTTTCTGAATGTAAGAAAAAAAAAATCTAAAGTAAAAATAGAAATATTTTTTTCAACTTTTATTTAGATATTTAATATGAAGAGACTCTTTTTCAGTATTCTTTATTTTTTAGAGTCTCTTTGTACCTGTAATAATTAATGACTAGTATTAACTACATTTATTATTTACTTAAATATTATATTAATATATGAGGCAGATCCATTGACACCGGTGTCAAATTTGAAATTTGACATCTCATCTGAAAGCCGTTAGATCAAAAAAGATCAATGGTGTCACACATGGTTGTTGAATCGCAATACGTATCGTGAATCGTTCGGCTGCTTTTTTGTATCGTGAATCGTAAGATTCAGAAACAAATTAAAAATAACTTAAAAATATATAATATCATATAAATCCTAATTAAAAAAAAATCTAAATACCATAATCCATAAGTAACCAAATCTAAAACCAGTTATTTCTCATATTCATTAAATTTCAAGATTAATATTATCACTACTATCACTATCAGGATCTAGTATTGACATATCTAGTCCTTCATCCTCTCCATTAGTAGAGTCATCTGACTCATCTCCCATATCTTGTTCAATAATTTGAGATCCTTTTCTGTTATCATTCCTGTTGACATCCTCTTGTATTAAGATGCCTTTGCCTTTATCATTCCTATCATCTTGAAGATTTCGAGGACCTAAAAAAAAAATATACATAATGTAAATAAATATATTAGATAAGGTGTTTGATTAAAAGAAATATTATATATGCAAATATACCTCTCTTTCTCTTTTTGCTTTGGTCTCCTTCATCAACGTTGAAGCACTCATGAACATCCATCCAAGATTCCTCATCCATTAGGCAAGGCTCCTCTTGCTCAGTAATCCATTCCTCGTCAGAATCTAAATCTGATAAGCAGATAAGATCATATGTGTCTCCTTTTTCCTCCCTTTGTTTTTGCCTAATTTCAAGTTGAAGGTTGTATTTAACAAACACAAGAGCATTCAACCTTTGTTGCTCTAAACGGTTTCTTCTCTTAGAGTGAATTGATCAAACACACTCTAATTTCTCTCGCACCCTGTAGCACTGCAAGTGAGGCTTAGGATACGAATAACTATTGTTTGCAGCTCTTTGCAGTCGTCTCCAACACTATTCCACCATAAAGCTAGAAAAAAAAAATAATTGATAAATAAATATTTGGTTAATGACTTAATTTTTAATTTTAAAAATATCAAAACATAATTTAATCAATACACAAAATTCGATGATTACCAGGTTGCTTCCTAGCTCTAGTTGCAATTGCTAAACTATTTCCAAAGAGTCCTTCAGCCCTGTCAAATTTCTCAATTTGGGAATCAATTGTGATCCTTGTTTCAATATCAGGACACATCTTCTCCAATGTCTTCCACAAGCCAGTTTTAACCTCACGATCTGGGTTGAACTTTGTGTCATAGTGAAACCTATATAATTATTATAAATTTAGAATAAGGCTTAATAATAAATCAAATATAAAATATAAAGAATTTTATATAAATAAATTTTATAAAAAAAATACTTACTTTGGATTAAGAAAATAGGCGGCTGCATGAAGAGGCCTATGAAGTTGTAAATCCCAACGCTTGTCAATGATTTCCCATACATCCTTATATCTCTTTTCCTCATGATTAAAACTCTTTGCTATTTCTTCCTTTGATCTATCCATAGCCTTATAAATGTATCCCATTGCAGGTTTTGAATCACCATCCACAAGTCTAAGAACTTTCACAAGAGGAGACACAATTTTCAAGCAATAATGTATTGATTTCCAAAACCTTTTATCAGCCAAAACAACATTTTCTGCAAATTTGGCTTCCGGCCTAGAGCAATAAGCACTATTAACCCATTTTTCAGATGTAAACATAGATCGAACTGCAGTCTTTTGTTTCAAAATTGACTGCATTGTCAAATATGATGTAGCAAACCTTGTTATTGCAGGCCTAGCTAACTCTCTACCTTTGGAAAAGGTTCTATACAAATTCAACACCCATGTGTGCCTATAAATGAAAGTTGTAATTTTTTTTGCTTTCCAAATGGTATTATAGAACACTGTAATGCCACCAATATCTTCCAAACTCAAATCAAGACAGTGGGCTGCACAGGGTGACCAAAAGAGTTGCTTTCTGTTATCCATCAACTTTTGTCCAGCAGATACAAGGGCTGAAGCACTATCTGTCACTACTTGAACGACATTCTCTTCTCCAATTTCCATCACCATCTCATCAAGTAATTCAAACATTTTTTCAGCATCTTTAATAAAGCTGCTTGTATCAACAGATTTTATAAAAACAGTCCCTCTAGGACTATTAACAAGAAAATTAGTACGAGATCTACCCTTTCCATCAGTCCATCCATCTCACATCAATGTACAACCAGTTTTCTTCCATCCCAACTTATATTTATCCAAACTAGTATGGACAAGATCAACTTCTTTCTTCAAATATGACACCCTCACTTCATGATAAGTTGGTGGTTTTAAGCCTCTACAATATTCACTAATAGACTTCACCATATTAATAAATAATGGACTCTTAACTAAATTAAATGGCAATGCATTGCCATATATGCATCTACAAATATCTCAAACCACCAAATCTCTATCCTTCACCATTGAATTTATAGTTTGTTGTTTCATAGCAGATGAGCCACTTCCAATTTTTCCTTTTATCATAAAACTATCCATGCTCCCTTTTTTTGTGAATCTTTATCATCAAAGCACTCTAGTTCGTCATCATCTCTTGCATCCTCTGATATTTTTTTAAATAGATCCCTTATCTCTTCCGGCACTTGTTGGCATGGAGCAACTTCTTTGTGTGTTCCAGCTAGATGGTGCTTCATTCTAAATGCTCCTCCCCACATTGTTTTGGGGACAATAGTTACATTTAACATTCAACCTATTCGCAAGGGATTTACAATGATCCCAAGTTATATCCTTCTGTTTTTGGGATTTCTTCTTTGGAGCCATTTTTATTATTCTATTACTGTAAAAGAGAGAAGAAAAAAATCAAAGGCAAAATTATTAGGTAGGTCCGTAGGTGTCTTCAGCTACTGCACTAATACTCAATTGAATTTATTCACTATTTAAATGAAAAAGGAAATAGCACTTTCATAGGCAGCACTAGGCAATAGCACTTTCATTTCAGCAATAGGCAATAGCACTTTCAATTTCAACATGACAGTGACACATACACAAAAAAGCTGATTTGAAATGTGTACGTGTCTTATAAATAGAAACAATAATCTATTTATAAGACACATCCTCTCATGCATTTTCAATTGAGAACGACTTCAGCACTGCAGCTTTTTCATAATATTATAATAATATAATGTATTCCTCTGATCCTCTCATACGTTTTCAATTCAGCTGAATCATCACTATAATATTTTAATATATTTACAATTTACAAATTCCAATCACAAATCAAATCACCCATTTAAAAAATAGTACTCGTACTCCTTTGCCTTTTGTGAGTCTTCTTCTACACGCTCTCTGAATCTACTCTGCCTTTTGTAAGTCTTCTTCTACACGCTCTCTGAATCTACTCCTCTGCAAGTCTTCTTCTACACAGAGTCTGCAAGTCTTCTTGAGCGCTACTCTTTGGAAATTTCTGCAAGGCATTTTCTCCTCTGCAAGTCTCTCCTTCTGTTTCGTTGCTTCTTATAAGTCACTGCAAGTCGTCTCTGTTCGCACCTTTCTGCAAGTAGGCTTCTGTTTTGTTGCTTTCGCACCTCTCTGCAAGTCGTCTCTCCTTCTGTTTGCACCTTCTCACCTTTCTGTTCTTGACTTCTTGTATCCTTTTGTTTTTCAAATGGGATTTTGAATCCCTGATTTTTCTAAAGCAAACAACCTTTCAGATAACAACATGTCATTCCAAATCCTGCGACTGTTGAGTGTTTTTTTTAAAAATTTTTATATTTTGAATCGCTAAAAAATTCTGATTCACGATTCACAACCGAATCGTTCGATTCCACGATGCCAAATCACGATTCATGCCAAAAACGATTTGCTATTGCGATCTGTATCGATTTGCCACTGTATCGTACCGTATCGTATCGTATTGCACGATACGTATCGTGTAAGAACTCGCACCGTTAATTAAGGAATTTAATTAATAAATTATGTGAAATTAGGAAATGATTCCATAATTGATCCTAATAATTATTATGAGGCTTTAATAATTATAGTAAGTGATTTAGAATGCTGAAAGTCATTTTTTGGAAGAAAAGTGTACATACCGGTTCTGCTAGTCGGTATAAATGCGTACCGAAAAAGTATCCTGGAAAATTATAATAAGTGCATGATAATTACTAGAATAACATGTAGGACTTGTAAAACGAGTTTCAAGTTAAAATAATAAGAACTGGTGCCAGAAACTGGTATTGGCTATGAAAAGCGCGTACCGAAAAGGTGCTCGGGAAATTATAAGAAAAATATGATAATTCTTGTAAAATTTTGTAGTTTAAGAATCCTGAGTTTGGGATTAAAATGCTAAGCGTAGCAATTAAAGTTAATACAGTGTGTTTGAGGCTTAAGTGGGCTATAAATACCCTTGTGATGGCACAAAACTCTAGGAAACAGATTCTCTACGTGAGTGTGGGGCTGGTCAGCTGCTGGTTCCACTGTTCCATTGCTTCACCACCATTTTGTGAGCCTTGTGACCTCTTTTCTTCATTTTCTCTTCACTTTGTACCTTGGGTGAGTGGGAGAGATCATTGTGACTGTGAAAGGAGCACTTTCCCTGAGTGTGGTGGCTGTGTGGAGGCTGTTTGGGGTCTGAGTTGCCTTGTGTGAGTGTGTGAGCTTCTTCCTTGGGTTAATTGTTGGAGCTCCAAGGAGCAATCTTTGTGAAGAAAGATCCTTGCTTGGGTGGTATTTTCGTGCACCCTTGAAGTCAGTACCTTGGAGTTGTTGTGAGAGCTCCAAGAGCAGCCCTTTGCCTCTGTTTTGAACTTTGGTAAGTTGTGCCAACCTTGATCTTGTGTTTTTATGAGTAAAAGAGGTGTCTTGGTATGTTTAATGAGTTAAACAAATAACCAACTGTCATATGAACGTAAATGAACCTTAAGATGCATGTTTAAGCTTCTGGAAGTGTTAAAAATGGAACCTTGGAGAGATATCTTCGCGAAATGCAAAAACTGCATTCTGTCGTGAAATATCCAGATATTGGACGTGGAATATCCGGATATTGATATCCGGATATGGATATCCGAATATTGATATCCGGATATGGGAATCTGGATATCCGGATATTGATATCCGGATATTGCCGGAGTGATATCCGGATATTGGATATCCGGATATTGCCTGTGAGATATCCGGATATTGCATATCTGGATATGTCCCCGAGGAATATCCGGATATTCTGGGTTGCAAGGAAGAGTAGTGTACTATTCATCCAGAACTGATCTATGAGTTTGTGGACCCTAGTTTGAGGAAGTTGAACTTCTGTAATTAATTAATGTAAGTCAGAATCATATGATTAAGGGCTTATGGCTTGATGAGAAGCCTTAAGACGTAAAAAGTAATGGAAAGGCATTGTCTTAATATTGTATGCTTGCGGTGCATGTTATTGATATATTGTTGGTCCATAACAGATTGTGAATCTGCTGAGTTTGGACTTTGAGCTGTGGACTCTTGGCTTTGGGTGTTAGCTTGCAAGGTAAGCTTTGGGGATATGGTTATATGCATACTGTGTTACATGCTTTTGATATATGAAATGTTGTTGAGCTTTATGTGTTAATGGCTTTTAATATGCATGTGTTGTTCCATCTTAACGGTAAGCCTGAGTATGCGGCGTCATACAAGACGGTGATCCGGGGTGGATGCAAGTAGTATCTTGCACTATTTGTGGATATTAGACGTATATAAATCTTGCATTTCTCTGGCCAGTAGAATAGAATTGACACACATGACATGATTATCTGCTGCATTGCACTGTTTTTAGAAATGATATTGTTGAACTGCTTTTAAACTTATATTGCACATGTAAGTGAGCTAGGGGTGGAAGATCCTTGAGGACCCCTTGTCTTACTGAGATTTCTTGTTTAGAGATCTCACCCCACGTTTGGAGAATGCTTATTTCAGGTTCAGGTAGTATGGTGACTGATGCCTCTGGCGGCAGGAGGCCAGAGCTTAGCTCATTATGATATTTATGTTGTATTGCTGCCATGACTGGATTGGATGTTGTTTATGTTTTCTGCTCTTCATGTTTTGAGTTGAGACTTATGTTGGGCTTTGTTGCCTTATTTGGGTGAGCATGGGAGTTGTCCATGCCACTATGTTGTTAGTACTTTTGAGTCGAGTTGTATAAACTGCTAGTGGTCCGGTTTATATGTTGTAGTTCCGTGACTAGAGACATACATTATGTTATTTTAATTAATGAGGTATTTCAGTTAACTATTTTATTGCAATTACATACAGGCGATGTGTTATTAATTGATTAATAAGCAAGTTGGTAATGAAAATGACATCATAATTGAAAAGAAAAAGATATTCTGCATTTTTAATTAAGCGCAGCTTAATACGATAGTATGATAACATTACCGGATATATACGGGGTGTTACATTTATGGTATCAGAGCAATGGTTCGAGGGAAAAAGCCTGTATGTATTGCAATAGCTAGGATGTTTGGTTGTGTCTGTCTTGTGTGTTTACTCCGTCGAATTTTATTATGATAATGCATATATAATCACATTGCATGGGCCTGATCAACTCATAATCTGTGTAACTTGTGTAGAGTCATGGTAAGGTCTGGGAGAACACGAGAGACTTCTGAAGATCAATCTGATCATATCCTGACTGCATTGGCTGAGATGCAGGCAGCTAGGTTAGTCGATCAGGATGCCACTAGATTAGCCAACGCGGCAATGATGAATGCTGTTCGCGAGGCGAACCGGATAGCCGCAGAGGAGGTTCGTGAAGCGAACCGGAGGACCACTGAGGATATCCTCGAGGCGAACAATATGGCGAACATGACGATGATGAGAGTCATGTTGGAGGAGATGAGGGTTGGTTCTGCTGTAGGCCAGTTACCACCGCTATCACCGCCGCTGCCTCCACCTAGTGTTCAGGATGAGAGCCTGAGTCACATTGGCAGTGCTGCTCATGTCGCTGAGACGAGGGAGACTCTTGTAGAGCCTGCTGAGGATCGTGATCTGATAGATCGCCGGCTGAATGCTTTCAGGAAGCATAAGCCACCTGTGTTTGAAGGGTCTTTGGATCCTATTGCTGCGGCGAGATGGCTGGAGTAGCTGGACAAGATATTTCGGGTCATGCAGTGTACAGACCCACAGAAGCTGATGTTCTCGACTTACATGCTGGAGGGCGATGCCCATTAGTGGTGGACGAACACCTCTCGTGCTTATGAGATGCAGGGTCGTGTTTTGACATGGCCATTCTTCGAGGAATGCTTCTTGGGCAGATATTTTCCCTACGATGCGCAGGAGAGGAAACAGAGGGAGTTTGATCGATTAGTTCAGGGCTCGATGTCTGTTGACGAGTACCTGGCCAA